AACCCCGACTAGGGGCAGAGACTTAGTCTGCAACTGAAGTACGTGCCCTTGCCCAGAATCAAACCCAGGACCCTTCAGTCTGTGGGCTGATGCTCCAACCACTGAGCAACACCATCTAGGGCTCAGCCTTTCTTTTTGAAGACACAGCCTAAATAATATTCCCTTTCCTATAAGTTCATAGAAATATGCTGAAATTTCAACTGTTTTCAGTTTTTAAAAAATCTTTTGATCCATTTTCCCCTCTGCTTTCTTGTATTATAAACGTGGGTCATTATCAAATCCAGTTTTCCTTCTGACTTCTGTTGTAGCAGTGTATTGTTAGGAAGAAAATTGAGTCATAGCTTTACCAGAATGGACTATTTTACCATCTATTAAGTAAATTTACCTGGTGCTTCAATAGTGTAATTTATGGGCTCCTGCAGGCTGGAGTTTGGTTATACTCAGGAGGCACATAGGCTAGCACAGTGCTGTACATAAAGTCTGACATCAGTGAGTGTTGCTTGAGTAAATTGAATATTTCAGTAAATTGAATATTTAAGACACTGCAACTTAGCAAAACTAGAAAATTGCTATACCCAGTCTTCCCTACCAGACATAATAGTCTTGGGGTGGGAGTAGAGTAATGCAGTATTTTCTAATTTTGTTTAAGTTTGTTTGTTCAATAATACATAATTTCATGATTTAAAGTGATCCAGTGAAAATGACTCAAATACAGCAAAAAAGTGACTTTCAAATGCCTCAGTGTTATTTTGCCTTAGCCTGACCATTGTGTTATTCCCCTGCTTCCCTGCCCCCAAAAACCACTTTGTGGGAGTAGATTTGAGTCCTCTAAAAACTGATGTCTGTCCTGTCTTTAACGAATGGTAACCTAAAATAGATGCACTCTGCCCTCTCTTAGGTTGTTTTGTGTCAACCCTTGGCAAGCTGGTTCTTCCTTTCTCTCTCTTGTGATGTCATTGCTGTTTTAGGATAGAAAACGCTGCAAGAATACACTATAAGTTTTGGAATTAATGGATGCTGGAAGTTGGATTTTAAAAGGAGTTTATCCTCTTTCATACTCCTTATGGAACGACTTGGGTGGAACATCATGAACTCCTCCTGTACCTCTGCAAATAGAAGGAAGTTCTTAACATTTATATAAGACAGCAGGAGCCTGGGCATGACCTCATCTCAGTCCATTAGACTATTTGAGGAAAAAAACAACAAAACTTCCCCACTTATTGACAGGTAGAGTTATCCCAATCCGTTTCTCATAGCCAGTAAGAAGATGAACTGTCCTTAAATGCATTTTTAAATTGGCAAATTATGCTTCCTGGTTCCTTTTTGGTCAAACAGAAATAGCTGAAAGAGAAATTATCACAATGTTTTGAGGCAGATTAAAGTTCTCCTCATCTTCTTACAGAGGACCTGCCAGCAGTTCCATTTTGTACAAACAACAGATCCCTCATTTCTGTAGTCCCCAAGCCAATTAACAGGAGCAAAGGCCCCATGTTCCCCATTCTGCTCTGTGGCAGAGCTTACAAAGAAATGAAGTACAGTTTGGTAAATTTGGTAGTGTGTGTAATGAGTCACCAATGAAGATGTGATTAACCCCAGCAGCAGAGTTATAAGCATCATATTATTAAAGTTATTACTGATGGAGTCCAACTGTAGACTTAACTAGAAAACTAATGAGCTTTTCTTTTTTCAACTCAACAAATATTTATTGAGCTTCTACTCTGTACCACTCATTGTGGTAGACACTGAGGGATACAGTATTTAACAACAGAGATGTGGTCCTATCCCTTTTAATAATGTATTAGGAGACCATTATTGACAGACTAAATACTCACAGCATGTACCAAGATTTGCATATGTGCTTGATGTTTGAAGATCTTGAGTTAGTGGAATATGAACTTGTAAATATCCTACTTCTGATATAGTTGCCTTTTGGTTGAGGAAGCCTCCATGGATTTATGTGGTTTCCGTGACAGGAAGAATCTAAAAATGGTCTTTATACTTTGAAAGCCGGTGTACATAGAAATCTCAATCATAATAGTGCCTCATCCAAATATTCCATTTTATTGGTTTCAACTTTGACATGTCATCCACTAAAAGGCCAGACAAACCTTATAGTTCTATTTTACGACTATCCTACATTTATCATCTTTGGACTAATAGAAACCCTAGTTTGTCATCAAAATACTGTCCTTGAAACATGACTATACCCCAGATTTGCTCTGTAGTATCACTGTGAAGAAATTTATTTAATTTGTAAGATAACCTTTCAGCTTGGACAATATTATGTAAATATCATGTTTTTTGTCAAATGTTATTAGAATTAATTTCAATTTTTAAAAAGCAATTAGTCATTTATCCATATCCTACATAGTTTGATGGACTCCCACTAAAACAAGCCTAAGACACAGGAAGTAAAATGCTAGGTTTAAGAGAAAGTAGTAAGTACTCCTAAGTGCAAGGTATTGTGTATTCCCTTCTCAGGGAGATATCAGGGTACTCCCCAACCAGTGCACCTCTGATTTTCCCAGAACCTATGCTGTTGTCTGTGGTTGGTTTGCTCTTTGTTGACACTTCCCCCGGGAGGACGACTTCTCATTTTAGATATAGACTCTGTATCCTTTTAGGCAAGAGGGAGTCATCTTTTCAGAAGTATAGTATTGATCATGGGAAAAACCATACAGGAGACAATAGATTGGTTTTATCAAACCTATTCTATTGATCTTCACATTATTATAAATTTTTGGTCAGTAGTGACAGATTGGTAAGTGGTCAGCTTATAATTCAGTGCTTCATATTTAAAAATAGGCTCCCTGCCTCAAGACAACTTGAATGCTAAGTACAAGAAACTTAACAATCCCCAATCACCTTACAAATCTTTTATAAACCTACTTTCTACCAGCAAAGGCTGGCAAAAATGGATAGGAGGATATATATGGGTGCTCCCCAGCCAGAGTGAAACAGGTGCAGCAAGGGGCACAGCATAGCTTCAGTGCCTTGATAGTGTGCATCTGGTGGCCACACACTCTCCAAGGTACCAGGGTCTCCACTGGCATGAGTGTCCCATGATTACCACTCACCTTGGATGGTGTCAGTGGGAAATAGGAAGTCCATGGGCCACCAAAACCAAACATTGCCCTCTTGTGCATGTTCTTTTTCTTCCTTATTAAAATAAAACAGAGGGTTGGACATTTAATGAATTCATTGGTATGCAGTCAAGAGACACGTTTCAAAAGAAATACTAATTCTCAGTTGTTGTTTTCTGTTGTTGATACTCTTACAGATGTCCTCATATCCCCCCTTCCTTTGCCCACCTCCATCCAGCCCCCCACCTCCTCTGGCTTAGATTTTGTTCATTTTATATTTTTGTCTGACAACTCCAGAAAATTGTTGGTAGTCTTCTTTTCATGTCTTCATAGAAAGACTAATGACTGAAAGGTAATACATATTAGAAGAAAACTTGCTCTATAGTTGTCACAGCAATCTCTCCTATGGTAGGCCTTCATTTAGGACTGCACGTTACTGGACAAGTGATAGTAACCCTGTGTTGTTTTCTAAAATGTGCTTAACAACTCAGCTCCTAAATTCATTGTTACCTCTGGAACCTTTTGGTCAAGTAGCAAGTAGGGTCTAGTACAGTGATGGCGAACCTATGACACGCGAACTCATTTTTTTGGTTGATTTTTCTTTGTTAAATGGCATTTAAAAATATAAAATGAATATCAAAAATATAAATCTTTGTTTTACTATGGTTGCAAATATCAAAAAATTTCTATATGTGACACGGCACCAGAGTTAAGTTAGGGTTTTTCAAAATGCTGACACGCCGAGCTCAAAAGGTTCGCCATCACTGGTCTAGTAGCTGTTAGCTTGCTGTGAGTAAATAAATTATATATATAAAAGCCTAAGTGACCATCTCAACCAAATGGATGATCAAACAGGCTACGTGGGACGACCAGTCCGGCAGGGGGGTTAGTGAGGGGTGACCAAACGACTGAGCAACAGACTGCGTGGGGCGACCAGGCCAGCAGGGGGCTTAGTGAGGGGCGACCAAACGACTGAGCATCAGGCTGCATGGAGCGACCAGGCTGGCAGGGGGCTTAATGAGTGGTGACCAAACAACTGAGCAGCAGGCTGCGTGGGTAGACCAGGCCAGCAGGGGGCTTAGTGAGGGGCGACCAAACGACTGAGCATCAGGCTGCATGGAGCGACCAGGCTGGCAGGGGGCTTAATGAGTGGTGACCAAACAACTGAGCAGCAGGCTGCATGGGTAGACCAGGCCAGCAGGGGGCTTAGTAAGGGGCGACCAAACCACTGAGCAGCAGGCTGCATGGGGCGACCAGGCCAGCAGGGGGCTTAGTAAGGGGCGACCAAACCACTGAGCAGCAGGCTGCATGGGTAGACCAGGCCAGCAGGGGGCTTAGTAAGGGGCAACCAAACCACTGAGCAGCAGGCTGCATGGGGCGACTAGGCCAACAGGGGGGCAGTTAGGGGCGACCAGTCTGGCAGTGGGGGCAGAAAGGGGTGACCAGGTCAGCAGGGGAGCAGTTAGGGTGACCAGGCCAGCTGGGCGGGGCAGTTGGGGGGTGACCAGGTCAGCAAGGGTGGGCAGGCAGTAAGGGGTGACCAGGCCAGCGGCGGGGGCGGGGGGCAGTTAGGGGAGACCAGGCCGGCGGGGGGGGTGGGGGAGCAGTTGGCAACTAGGCCTGCAGAAGGGAAAGTTGGGGGTGACCAGGCCAGCAGGAGGGTTGCAGTTAGGGGCGATCAGGCATGCAGGCAGGTGAGCAGTTAGGAGCCAGTGGTCCCGGATTGTGAAAGGGATATCCTGGGTATCGGGCCTAAACCGGCAGTTGGACATCCCCTGAGGGGTCCCGGATTGAGAGGGTGCAGGCTGGGCTGAGGGCCCCCCTTCCCCTCCCCACATGAATTTCGTGCACCGGGCCTCTAGTTTAAACATAAAATCTTTGCAGTGAAGGACCTGGGAGATGAAAATGTTATGTTAGGGCACATTTCAGACATGGTGTCCATAATTCTCTCATGGATGGATTTTTCTTTTTTAAACACGTGAAGAAAGGCATCTTACCACCCTGATGAGAATTTGGAAGCCTTTATTTGGTGCTAGTGTCTGAAGATTATTGCCAACTTTTCTACGACAGGTTAGCTGCACTATATACATAGACTTTAACCATGTGTGATGTGTTTTGAGGGAGAAGCCCCAGAGTTTATTTAATTCTCTGCCCAGGGGAAAGGCTGTCAGTGTTGTGCTGTCTCCAAAGCAATCAAATCCCCTTTCCCAGGAGGAAACACCCATGGTGTGATGTAGCTGTGGTCTGGGCTGTCATAGGTTTCTTGTTACCACATCTTTGCTTCCAGAAGCTCTTGTGAAATTTACCGGAGTTTGGTTAAATGATTCATTACAACTTAGAGGAAGTCTGAACCAATATTATGTCTTAGCTGAATAATGGCTGTTCCTTTGAGCCAATGCACTGAGTCAGGAAATCTGAGTTCTAGATGGTGTGACCTTGAGCAAGTCAAGTCCCCTCTCTTGGCTCTTCATCTGTCAAGGTCATGTCCTCATCTGCAAAATAAAGGGGCAGATTTGGTAATGCTTCTTTCCAGTTTAAAGTTCTGGTTTTTTTTAAAAATTTTTCATTTTTTTTTTTTAATTAAATCTTTATTGTTCAGATTATTACATTTGTTCCTCTTTTTCCCCCCCATAACTCCCCTCCTCCCAGTTCCCGCCCCACCCTCTGCCCTCACTCCCCACCCACTGTCCTCATCCATAGGTGCACGATTTTTGTCCAGTCTCTTCCCGCATCTCCCACACCCCTTTCCCCCCCAAGAATAGTCAGTCCATTCCCTTTCTATGTCCCTGATTCTATTATAATCAACAGTTCATTCTGTTCATCAGATTATTTATTCACTTGATTCTTAGATTCACTTGTTGATAGATGCATGTTTGTTGTTCATAATTTGTATCTTTACCTTTTTCTTCTTCTTCCTCTTCTTAAAGGATACCTTTCAGCATTTCATATAATCCTGGTTTGGTGGTGATGAACTCCTTTAGCTTTTCCTTATCTGTGAAGCTCTTTATCTGACCTTCAATTCTGAATGATAGCTTTGCTGGATAAAGTAATCTTGGTTGTAGGTTCTTGGTATTCATCACTTTGAATATTTCTTGCCACTCCCTTCTGGCCTGCAAAGTTTCTGTTGAGAAATCAGCTGACAGTCGTATGGGTATTCCCTTGTAGGTAACTGAGTTTCTTTCTCTTGCTGTTTTTAAGATTCTCTCTTTATCTTTTGCTCTTGGCATTTTAATTATGATGTGTCTTGGTGTGGTCCTCTTTGGATTCCTTTTGTTTGGGGTTCTCCGCGCTTCTTGGACCTGTAAGTCCATTTCTTTCACCAGGTGGGGGAAGTTTTCTGTCATTATTTCTTCAAATAGGTTTTCAATATCTTGCTCTCTCTCATCTTCTGGCACCCCTATAATTCTGATGTTGGTACGCTTGAAGCTGTCCCAGAGGCTCCTTACACTATCCTCGCATTTTTGGATTCTTTTTTCATTTTGCTTTTCCGGTTGGGTGTTTTTTGCTTCCTCGCATTTCAAATCATTGACTTGATTCTTGCGCTCCTCTGGTCTGCTGTCGGGAGTCTGTATAATATTCGTTATTTCAGTCCGTGTATGCTTAATTTCTAGTTGGTTCCCCAATATAACATCGAGGGTCTCATTAGTTTTCTTGTAGATCTCATTAAGTTTATCGGCGGCTTCTAAACAGTTCTTGAGAGACCTTAAAAGTTTGGTTCTGAACTCTATATCTTCCATTGACAATTTTGTCCTGTTTCTTTGTCTCCGCATTTTGTTATGCTTCCTTGGTGCACCCCCTAGTGGTCTTTGTTCGCAGTCTTATAGTTAAACCTTGATTGTTGTAGCTAATTCCAGGGAGGGTTTGACCTCCAGGCCAGGTGGCTGTGAGAATCAGCTGTGTCAGCAGTGAGAGAACTTCTGTCCTCTAGGGAGGTGCTAATCTAGCCTTTGCCTGAGGCTATCTGGCAAATGCCTCTGTGCAGGGCTTGGGCAGGGCGGGTCGCACAGGATCAACAGGGTGGGCCGGAGAGAGCAGTTATGGCGGCGCTCAGTCCTGTCCCCAGGGGCTCTGCCTCTCTGAGTCCCAGCACCCGCTGCAAAGCTCAGAGAGAAAGCTGCACTCGCTCTGACCGAAGCCAGACAGTCCCGCTTCTCCCGTTTGAGTCTGGGTCCCTAAAGACTCGCCCGTATCTGGAGCTCAGAGTCTGCGACTCCCTCCCGATTGAAAACGCCAACCGCGCCCTCCGCCGCCAGCCCGCTGCTCCGCGCACTCCGCACCTCAGAATTTGACTTCAGCACTGCGCCTCCTCTGAGTGTCTGTATGCGTTTCTTTTTCCTCCTAGTTGTAGGACTTCCACTCAGCCAGCGTTCCTGTGGTTCTGGGTGATGTCCCTTCTGTCTTTTAGTTTCACTTTTGAAGTAGTTGTTCAAAGCAGCAAACTCCGGCGTTAACCTATGCCGCCATCTTGGTTCTCTCAATTTTTCATTTTTCTAGATCATCTTTATGTGGAGATTTTTTTTTGGGGGGATGGGTAATGCGAAACATTTTGGTATTAAAACAAATGCATATAATATTGAATAGAATATAAAATTTACATCATGTTTTGAGACAAAGTAAGAGACATCAAAGACATTTCAAGGTAAGCTACCATGAGCTTCAGGCTCTATTCCTAAACCCTGGGGGAGGAAGGAGACCCCTGAATGCTCACTCTGATATTACAGGGACTGCTGATTTGATAGAGAAGTCTGAGCAGCAGCTTCCTGGTCTCTCTTGTTACTCTCAGCACCTTCTGAGCATCAATGGGAAGGGTGGGTTTTTCACAGGTGTTCACAGGCTTAACTCCATGTCTGTGTTCAGGAATTCTTGGGACTGTGGTCCATGGTAGTTTTACAGAATTGCCGGGATGTGACAGGATTGAGGAGTTATAGAAAGAAGTCTTGCCCTAACTGGTCTGGCTCAGTGGATAGAGCGTTGGCCTGGGGATTCAAGGGTCCCAGGTTCAATTCCAGTCAAGGGCATGTACCTTGGTTGCAGGCACATACCCAATAGGGAGTGTGCAGGAGGCAGCTGATCGATGTTTCTCTCTCATCGATGTTTCTAACTCTCTATCCCTCTCCCTTCCTCTCTGTAAGAAATCAATAAAATATATTTTTAAAAAAAGAAGTCTCATCTTCCTTCCACCAAGTTACCAAGGAGACAACACAAGAGATGATGGCTCCTTATGCTGCAACCCTCATCACACATCCCTTCCACATGATCACTCTGAGGTCCATGGTATAATTCATTGGCAGAGAATCCGAGTACTGAGGACTTTGTGACTCCATAGTAACCACCTGTCAGAAAGCGGGTATACAGTGGGGCCTTGACATACGAGTGTCCCGACTAACGAATTTTTTGAGATACCAGCTGTCTCTCGGCTGATTTTTTGCATTGAGTTGATAGAGTAATTTGAGTTAACGAGCTCCTTGATGAGCTCCTTAACGAGCTCGGTCTCGGAATAAATTAAACTCGTATGTCAAGGCCCCACTGTACTATCATTTTTTTTCGGTCTATTCCTTGCCTCCTAGGTGACGTCATTTCTTTGTGGTTCTGTAACTCGCTGGCCTACCTCGTCAGTACCTATGCACCGAATGGTGGGGTTTCCACCGTAATGAAATGAAGAGCTCTTCCCAGATTGTCACAGGATTTTTAGCCAGTTTGTTGACCTATCCTTTTGTGCTTGTCTCTGGGTTCTTTGATTCTTTGTCAGGATCTACGCTGTGGTTTATCTAAATCCGTGTGTAATGAGCTATGTTATGGGATTCCGGTCCATTTATGAATTAGGATTCCAAAATTCAACTTCTCATATCTGAATCCTTTTATCTGTTCATAGGCTAGTACTAATTTTTCTACTTAAAAGTTTCCTTTTCACAGTCTTTCCCCACCCCAAAAAAACATTTAAGCTACAAAGCCATGAAAACTTACAGCTTCATCTATAATAGAATACATTTATATTTTAGTTTTTTTCTTATACTCACGTGAACCTTCCAAAAAGCTGATTTTGGGAGAGCCATTATTTAAGTCTGTAGAATTAAAAATGAACACTTCTTTATAAAAAATTACGTTAGTGCAGAACATCTTTTGTTCATCGCATTACTATGTGTTTGCAAAACAAATTTTTAAAGTGTAAATTTGTTGCCAAAAGGCATTAAGATAAAGAAAATTTCTTTTTAAAAAATAAATTTATGCAATTCTATTTTTCTCATGCTTTGAGACAATAAGCATTATGTTTAAATAATGCTTTTTTAATTAAAAAATTAGCTGATAGTTATGTAAAATGCAAAAAATTAAAAAAGAAACTTCCAATACCTCTTCATACCATCCTTTAGAGATAATCACTAACATTTTCATGTATTTATTTTCAGTCATTTTTCTGTTAAGTACATATATCTATATATATATATTTAAACAAAAAGTTATACAGTTTTGTATTTAGTATTATTTATATGCTCTTTGAAAACATGATTTTTAATGATTAAATCCATTTTAAGAATGTACTATTACCACCCTAACCGGTTTGGCTCAATGGATAGAGCATCGGCCTGCGGACTGAAAGGTCCCAGGCTCGATTCCAGTCAAGGGCATGTACCTTGGTTGCGGGCACATCCCCAGTAGGGAGTGTGCAGGAGGCAGCTGATCGAGGTTTCTCGCTCATCGATGTTTCTGACTCTCTGTCCCTCTCCCTTCCTCTCTGTAAAAAAAAATCAATAATAAAAAAAAAAAGAATGTACTATTACCTAGTACCCTGCAGTTGGACATTTAAGTTGACACTGTATTTACTTTGGGTCCTAACTTCATAACAGTATATTGCCAGTTTATAGACAGATACAGGGATGGTGAAAGAGAGAAACCTATTTTGAAAAGAAGTTATAAAATTAATCAGAGGTAGGTTTCTGTCATATTGCATAACTCAATTTAGCTTTATTTTAGGTAATGTTTTTATTGTAAACTACTTAGAAAACATAATGTATAAAGAAGAAACTATTTCCATTCATAAAAAAAAACCACTGAAAATATTTTGGTGCATTAAGTGTTTCTATATGCATCTATGTGTTTTAAACATAGTTAGAATAATTCATATATGGTTTTCTAATCTGCCTTTTTCACTGACATTTTCCTATGTCTTGAGGTGTTCTTTGAAAATGTGATTTATAATGGCTCCCTCTTTCTTCTTCAAATAGATTTTACCATAATTTATTTAACCATTATTACTTTACTAGACATTTAAATTCTTCCCAGTTTTGCCTTTTTAAATAGTACTGACATGAACACCCTGGTACTTACCTTTTTTCTTAAGAGCAATGATATGTTTGGCATATTACCACCACCTCCCTCCACAAAGCTGGACTTATCCACATAAGTAATGGTGGCCTTGTGCATACACTGCTCCTCTCACCAGAGCCTGCTTCTCCCTCCGCCCCCTATGCCTACTGTAATTATCTTTTTGGTGAGGGAAAATCAGCTCTGTAGGTGAGAAGCAGAGTTTTATTTTTGTCCGTATATAAGCTTCTGTTTCTAGTAAGGCTAAACATTTTTATACATTTATTAACCATTCATACTTCATCTTCTGGTGTTTTTTTCTTTTCCCTTACCCATTTTTCTATTGTATATTCACAGTTTCTTACTGAGGTGTAGATCAGCTCCTTATAGAATAAAACCATTAACTCCTTCTGTTTTACATTTGTATGTATTAGCAATTTATTTCATTTTTATTTAAATGTAGACAAATCCAGTGCTCTATGTCTGGACTGGCTCCATTACTTATTTCTCCTGATCCAGATGTTTTCTTCTAGTTTGTTTTTCTTTCAATGATTTCACTTTTACATTTAACCCTAATATATCGGGTTCAAAAGGTTGGGATCTAATTGGTATTAATTTCCAGGTAGCCAATTTTCTCTTCCTCCTTAGATTTAAGATTCTTTCTGGCATATAAATTAATTTTATATGTTGGTTCTATGACCTTATCAATTCTTAAACCAAAGTTTTGACTATTATAACTTTATAATTTCATTATATTTGACAAAATAGGGCCCATTTATTATTATTTATTTTCACAATGTTCTTGTCCATTTTTATCTGGTTTTCCAGATGAACTTTAAAATTATATTATTGACTTATACCACTCCCACTAGAAAAAAAAAGTGTTTTAATTCAGTTAAAGTACATTAAAACTAAAAATTTATCTGGGATGAAGTAACATTGTCATATTATTCACTCTTACCTAGTAATATGTTAGATGCCCCTTTATTTCTTACATCTTTTTTATGTCTTTCAGATTTTTGCATGGTTTATATATATTCCTTTTAGGTATTTTTACTTCTCATTTTTCTTGCTCTCATGAATATGCATATTATTTATTTTGTCGAACTGGTTATTACTTATACATGGGAAAGGTTTGATATTTTTGTGTATATAGTATCCAACCACTGATTATGTTTAGGTGTTTCAATTTATCCCTTGGTTTTCTTGATAAAGTATAATATGCAAATGATAGTTTTGTGGCCCTCCTTCCCAATTTGTTTCTTAATTCTGTTTCATGTTTTATTGTACTAGCTAGGACTTTCAGAAAAATGTTAAATTGTAGCAAGAGAAAAAGTTGTATTAGGGATAGTGAGCTCTGTTGCCTTGCTTCTGATTTAATAGGGCTGCTGCTAGAATTTTATTTTATTGTTAATATTACCAGTTACTGTTTTTCCAATATTTTATTGTGAAATTTCCATACAGTGAAGCTGAAAGAATATTTACAGTAACCACTTAGATTCTATCATTAACATTTTACTATACTTGTTTTTTTAATTTTAATAATTTTTATTTTTCAATTACAGTTGACATATTATATTAGCTTTAGGTGTACAACACAGTGATTAGACATTTATATAATTTTCAATGTGATTTCTCTGATAAGTCTAGAACCCTACTGACCCCATACAGTTATTACAATATTGTTGACTATACTAGAGGCCCAGTGCATGGAGGGGTGGAGGGGGTCCCTCAGCCCAGCCTGCACCCTCTCCAATCCAGGACCCTATGGGGGATATCCGACTGCCAGTTTAGGACGATCCCACAGGACATCCCTCCAGGATGCTGGCTCCTAACCACTCACCTGCCTGCCTGCCTGATCGCCCCTAACTGCCCTCCCCTGCCGGCCTGATCACCCCTAACCACCTCTGCCTTGGCCCCCACCAATGTGGCTTTGTCTGGAAGATGACTGGTCTATCTGGTCTAATTAGCATATTACCCTTTTATTAGTATAGATTCTCTATGCTGTACTTTACATCTCTGTAACTATTTTTTAATTTTATTATTCAGTTAGTTGACATACAGCATTATATTAGTTTCAGGTATACAACATAGTAATTAGACATTTATATAACTTATGAAGTGGTCACTTCAATAGGTCTAGCACCCATCTGACACTATACATAGTTATTACATTATTATTGACTGTGTTCCCTATGCTGTACTTGACATCCCTATGACTATTTTTATGACTGGCAATTTGTTATAACCAGTGTTTTAAACTCTGTATCTGATAGACGGCATGCCTCCATTTTGTTTAGTTCTTTTTATTGAGTTTTGGCATTTCTTTTTTCATTTGTGTTTGGCTGCCTGCCTGTGTTTCTTTCAATGTATTAGTATACCTGCTACATCTCCAGATGAGAGAAGAGGCCTTTTGTGGGTGTCCTTTGGGGCCCAGTGGTGCAGTCTCCCTAGCCAGCTTAGTTAGCTAGGTGCTCCAGGGGTGTCCCTTGCGGGTTCTGTATGCCCTTCTGCTGTAGTTAGTTGCACCTGGATTGCTGTTGGCACATTAGTTGGTGGGATTGACCCTCATGCTGCCTGGCTGTGAGGGCTGACTGTTGACTACAGTGAATGAGCTGTTGTGTGGGAGTTGCTTTAGCGGGGCTCTGTTAGTGGAGCTGGTTGGATGGTGTTCTGGTGTGGTCTAAAGCCAGCCACTGGGTGTGTCAGCTGTGGAGCCTCCTTGGAGAGGCTTCAGTACAGGTCAAAGTTAGTCTCTGCTTGTGCCTGGCTTAGGGCTGGCTGTGTGTTAGGAGCTGCAACGTTATCTGCCACTTATGCTGGGCTTGAAGGCACTTGGGAGGGGCTGTTCCGAGAACCTAAGCCAGCTGCCACTAGTGTCAGGCTTAGCTCCCTTTAGTGGGCGCCACTATGTGAGCTGAGGCCGCCACTACTTATGCCAAGTTTCTGGCCACTTAATTGAGGCTACTTTCCAAGCCCAAACTGGTCACTGCTTATGCTAGGCTTGCGGCTGCCTGATGGGAGTCACAATGCCAGTTGAGACTGGTCGCTGATTTTTGGCCCTGGGGTAGCTTAGCAGGAGGTACAGGGCACACCAAGTCCAGATGCTGCTTATTTGGAGTTTGTGGACCTTGGAGAGATTTTTGGGAATGTCCAGGCGGCTCCTTGTGTGGAGGAACTGCTGGTAGAGGTTCTGCATGTGATAGTTTGGTATCAAGGAATCACCAGGGCAGAGTGAACAATGTTAGCTAGCTTAATGGAGAGCTCAGATTTGGCACCCATCTGTGTTGGGCCCACTGAGTTGTGGGAGGGTTCAACAAAGGAACAGTGGCATTAGCCAGCACATCCGTCTCCAGAGTGAACTGTTCCAACCCTTTCTCCTCCAGCCCTCTCCCTGCAGCTAGTCATTTTACTTCCTCCTGTGTTCCTGGCTTTTGAACTGCTGTTCCTTTGCTGGCGATTAGGAGGGTTTGTGAGCAAGTGTGCTGTGCTCGGGCCTTTAAGAAGATGCCAATGTCTATAGCAGCCCTCTGTCTCATCCAGAGGCCTGTTCATTTCAGTCAGTGCCGTTGCTCCAGGCTGACACCCCTTGCTCCTCCGGGAGGACCTCTACAGCTGAGATATCCCTCCTGATTCTTAACTGCCACATGGGTCTTACCCATTCTGAGTCTGCACCTCTTCCTCCCAGTCGTGGCTGCTTCTTTATATCCTTAGTTGTAGGACTTCTGTTCATGTGGATCTCAATAAGGGTGGTTCTATAATTTAGTTGTAGCTTTGATGTGGTTGTGGGGGAGGCAAGCACAGCATTAACCTACTCTGCCATCTTGACCAGAAGTCTTTACTGTACATCCTTTATTACATATCTCTGAGCAGGTTTTTGTTGACTCATACCAATATGGATAACCTGTGTGATGTGTTACAGAAATATTTATCTGTTCTTAGTGTTCCAAGATTTAAAAAACCAGTGATGCACTAGTTACTGAAGATGCAGATGAATATAGCACTCTCTTAGCCATTTGTTATCAAAGAGTAGCCAATCTAAAAAAGTTCAGGAAAGCTTTGAAATGGGAAGTTTTTATAAAACTGTTCAAATGAAGAACAGTGTTAACCATCAAAAAGAGGCAAGAAATCCAATTTGGATTATAAGGAAAAAGGGTAAAGTTAGAATTTTTCAGTATTTGACCAGACTTTCTAGAAAAGAAATTGCCTTATTCAGCTGACAGACTGTTACTTTCAGAAAGAGCTTCTTCCGTCTACTTGCCAGGTGGATGCCTGTGGTAAAATTAAGTCCATCAAGCTATGGCAGTGAATCACATTATCTCTAAGACCATCCCCTTTTTTTGTACTGACTCTATTGACCTGGTGTATTAGTTTCCTAGGGGACATAACAAATCTCCACAAACTGGGTGGCTTGAAACAACAGCAGGATTTTCACTCACCGTTCTGGAGGCCAGAATCTGAAATCCAAGCATCAGCAGAGTCAGTTTCCTCGGGGCCCCTGGCCACTGCCACCACTCCTTGGCTTACAGATGCATTCCTCCAGTGCCTGCTTCCACTTCCACATTGTCCTCTTTCTGCTTGTGTTCTTTTCTTTTTCTTACAAGGACGCGCTCATTGGATTTAGGGCCCAATGTGACCTCATTTTATCCTTACCATAATTGGGTTTGCAAAGATTACTTTCTGAAGTTCTAGGGGGACATGAATTCTCAGGTAACACTATTCCACTATTCAGCCTGCTGCACCCAACAACTTCCTACACAAGCAGTAGTTGAAAGAGCAAGGACCTCGGATTCAAGAGGCTTGTCTCGGGTCCTAGCCAGCTCTGCAACTTTGGGGAAGCTTGTCGTTGTCCCAGTTCTCAAATGCGGAGGTTGATCAGTGAGTAATCTTCCAAGATTCCTCTTTGTCCTGAAGACCACGTTAAGTGAGGAGGAGTCATGTGCAGAGCTGATTTCTAGCTCCGCCCCTCTTACTTCTCTCCAGTCCCTGATTGTTTCTAGGGGTTTTTAAAGGTATGAATAGTATCAGAGGGGCTTTGGCATCTTTGGATAAAATGTAGAATATTACTATTCTGGTCTGTAAGTGAACTGAAGGTGTTCCTTATGGATTAACAAAAGAGAATTGGTGTATTTAAAGAAGGTTTCCCCATTCCTTTTGTCTCTGCCTCCACTCTGTTTAAAAACAAAAAGAGAGAGAAGAAAACATTTTAATTACTTTGTTGCCGAAGATTATTTAACACTCTCAAATAGGAGATGGGACAGTTAGGTTCCAAAGTGTTTTATTGTAATATTCTCTTCTTCAGTAATTGTACTAAGTGATGAAGAAATGTATATGATTGTAGATAGTGGGCAGTGTCTGACAATCCTGATCTGAATTACTGCAACGGTTAAAGGTTAAAATCTCTCTTCAGGAGAGATAGTTCACATAAAGGCACAGAAAAAAACAATGTTCATTTGCATGGCATTATTCCTTGCTTAAGAGTCAGTCCCTGTCTCTTCTGTGTGCTCACTAAGGCACAAAAGGAGGAATTTCTGGCTGCAATTTTTATAGACTTCAGTGTTATTGAAATGAAAGTGCTTCAAGGACATTTCCATTTGTTACTAGCTTATGGTTTCTCATCTCATGTAAATTATTTTGCCACTCTTCATTTTAATTCTTTTGCTGTCATTGTCTGGCAAAACCATCACTTGGTTTCTCTCTGTGAAGATATTCACCGATTACTCAGCTGACAATGTCCTTTGTTTAAAAAGTGTAGTATCCTGTGGATTTATTTTATCGCTTTTTTTTTACAGTTACCTGTAGGTTTCTGTATATTTCTTCCTCTTTTTTGTCTTAGAAAATGTCTAGGGCTATACACATTCTTACATAGACAGAAGTATGTTTTGAACTCTAGAGTTCCAGTTCAGACACAGTCCCTTTAAGAATCTTAGAGCCAAGTTCTACAATGTATCTACCTAATAGCTATAGAACTACCTATTCTTTCAACATAAAGGTTAAAATGCTTGAAGGTGAATAATAACTAGTGTGTACTACCTAAGGCTATTGGGGGAAAGGGGCAGTTGCCTAAACCCGGGAGGTGAGGCTGTCTTGAGTGAGTTTTATTACCATTCTGAAACATCTCTTGAATCTTACCTTTCGCCTCTCTTTCCATGTCTCAGCCTACTTCATACCCTCTCCTCAGCTATTGCCACAGCTGCCTGGCTTCTGCCTCTAGGATCACCAGAGATATTTCCCTACAAAAATAAGTTTGGTTATATAATACCCCTGCTTAAACACTTGGACCCAGTGTTTTTCTTCATTTTGTTCTCACATACAATATATTCCAGACACACCAAACTCCTTCCCATTTCAGAACATTTTAAGCTCTTTCATTACCCCCTTTCTTTGTGCACGGTGCTTCCTCTGCCTCCTATTATTTCTTTCCATTCACCCTCCCTGCTGTTTCTTTATGACCCTGCACAAACGTTGATTCCTTTCTGCTCCTATATTTATACTCATACCACTAATATAGTCCATTTTACAATATTTATAATGTGTTTTGTTACATGCATGTATCCCCTGGTGACTACAATGGGAAGATTTGTCTGTCTGGTTTATCTTTGCGACCATTTAGCCAATTGCCAGGTATAAACTAGGACTCATTCCATATTTTGGGGTGACTAAATGAATGATTAATCAATGTCCAAACTGAAAATCATTACACTTATTTCCCATCTTCATTAATAGTGATTGGTTCTATACTACTCAAAAATAAACACTATACGAATATAATTGTATTTAGCTATATCTTCATCTAAAACCCCTGAATGTAATGTTAACATAAAAACATTCAAACCTGTAAAGAATTTTTGTGAGTTTATTTGAGCCAAACTGTTGACAATTGCTGGGAAACAGAATCTCAGTGGGTTGGGACAGTGCTCTGGAGAATGGCGGTTTTTCACCTTGTTTTATACATTACAATCAAAAGAGGAGACGTGGGTTACATGAAATCCACTGGTGATAGATTAGGGAGGTGGGAGAAAGCAAAGTGGGGAAACCTCTGGAATTGAATAAAAAGTAAATGATAGACAACAAGCTTCATTTACATAGGTGGGTACAGGATTGTTAATAGTCAACAATTAACATGGTAACAATAACAGTGAAGGAACTTACGGTTTCTCTCCAGGCACCCAGTTGCATTTGGTTATGCTCTGGGTCTGGAAAAAGGGAAGCTACAAGTTACCAGACATTTCCTAGCTATGTTATCTTAGATGCAAAACGACAATAGGCTCAGTTAAGGTATAGATTGACCTTGTCATTGAAAATACAGGCCTAGGACATGACTACCCACCATAACTGCTTTTAGTTAAAGTTTAATTTCAGACCATCCTTTTTGCTTACTTTAGGTCTTAGAGTTGCAAGACGGCCATGCAGGCCTTCCTTGAGCTTGTCAGGTTAGCATGTGGCCCCTTTTGTCCACAGTACCTAGAGAAGATAATGTACAATATGTCGACTTTCCAACTGGCTTTTTCCTAAAAGAGATATTATTGGTTTCATTAAAAGTCTTAACTGAGCAGGCCAGTGTGGTTCACTGGTTGTGTTGATCCATGAACCAAGAGGTCACGGTTTGATTTTCCATCAGGGCACATGCCCGGGTTGTGGGCACAATCCCCAGTAGGGAGCATGCAGGAGGCAGCCAATCGGTGATTCTTTCTCATCATTGATGTTTCTAACTCTCCCTTCCTCTCTCTGAAATCAATAAAACTTTTTTTTTCAAAAGTCTTAACTGAAACCACTGTTTTCACCTTTGTTTCCTTCTTTCATTCATTTATTCCTTCATATATTCATTTATTCACACATCTGTTGATGAAATAGTTACTTATTGAATATCTGTTACAAGCCAAGCAGATTCCTTGGGCTTAGAAAGCTCCTCTTGTGAGTAACTATATAGAAACTATAGTTATTGTTATCTTTAATGCTTCCTTTTTTCCTGAGCAATTAACAAATGTTCTCTTTCAGAGCACATATGGAAAACACTTGGGAGATTTTTGTTGACATTAAATTCAGATAAGTAAAATATGTGATGGTGACCATATCAGTTATTGTCTAAAATGGGATACTTCCGGGGGGAGTGAAAGGGAATGTGTTAATAATCCAAGACAACAGCATTATCTCAGACAAGCCAAGATGTACGATCACCCTATAAATAACTCCTATAGTCTAATCAGATTATATTACTAGTTGCCTTCTGTTTTCCAAGTACAGCTTATGTTTTTATGCCTTTGTATCTGTGTCTTTATTGCTAACTTTGTCCTTTCCTCTCCAATGCGTGGAGACTGTGCATCCTTCAGAAGCTGCCCAGATCAATAAGTTTTCCTGATCAGCCTAGTCCAGTGGTTGGCAAACTGCGGCTATTGAGCCACATGTGGCTCTTTGGCCCCTTGAGTGTGGCTCTTCCACAAAATACCTACTTCTGCACATGGGCCACGAAGTTTCAATCGCACTGCACATGTGCGCCCGCCCGCACGTGGTATTTTGTGGAAGAGCCACACTCAAGGGGCCACAGAGCCGCATGTGGCTCGCCAGCTGCAGTTTGCCGACCACTGGCCTAGTCCATACAGATATCTCTCCACCCTGAATTTATTTAGCATTCATTTATATACTTTATTAGCAACTAGATTTATTCTGGTTTGTCATTGTTATGTTACTGTTTTCACTCCTTTTGTTGTTTAACTTTTTCATATCTTCCTACTCACCTGAACCATATGTTCTTAAGATCAAGGTCGATATTTTGAACTTACATCTACTCCTCAAGTACAGTGCCTTATTCTTACTCATGTAATACATTTTTGTTGAATATTTTATTTCCTGCCTAAAAACTCTTTCACTTTGCCCTAGCTGGTTTGGCTCAGTAGATAGAGCGTCGACCTGCAGCCTGAAGGGTCCCAGGTTTGATTCTGGTCAGGGGCACATGCCTGGGTTGCAGACTTGATCCCCAGTAGGCAGGAGGCAGCCAATTAATGATTGCCTCTCATCATTGATGTTTCTCTCTCTCTCTCCTTTCGTCTCTGAAATCAATAAAATATAATTTAAAAAACAAACAAACTCTTCCATTTCACATCAATATTATGTGTCTGCCCTCCTCCCCTCCCAAGCTTTAAGGGCTTTGCAATGAAAAATTATGATTATTACATTTTAAACTTAAATATTTACTATGACATATCTTAAAATATGACTTTGTCAGTTTAGATTATACTGTCTATCTTGAATTAATATTTTAAATATTTAAAAATTATTGATCAAGAAAAAGGTGAGTGATACCCAACATACCCACTACATAGTAGTACATTTTAATGAAAATTAATGTTTCCAGCATACAATGGAGTAAAGTCAGTCTCTTCAATTGGACAGCTACATGCAAAAAAATGAAACTAGACCACCAACTTACACCATACACAAGAATAAACTCAAAATGGATAAAAGACTTAAATGTAAGTCATGAAACCATAAAAATCTTAGAAGAAACCATAGACAGCAAAATCTCAGATATCTCTTGTAGCAGTATGTTTACCAATACATCTCCTAGAGCAAAGGAAACTAAGGAGAAAATAAAAAAAAATGGGTCTACATTAAAATAAAAAGCTTCTGCACAGCAATAGAAACCATCAACAAAATGAAAAATGAGCTCACTACATAGGAGACATATTTGCCAATGATAGGTCTGATTAGGGGTTAATTTCCAAAATATATAAGGAACTCATACAGTTTAACAAAAGGAAGACAAACAGTCCAGTGAAAAAATGGGCAAAGGACCTAAGTAGACATTTCTCCAAAGTGGACATACAGAAAGCCAAGAGACATATGAAAAAAATGCTCAAAGTCACTGATCATCAGAGAGATGCAAATTAAAAGGATAATGAGATATCACATCACACCTGTCCAAATGGCTGTCATCAACAAGTGACAAGTGTTGGCGAGGATATGGAGAAAAGGGACCCTAGTATACTGCTGGTGGGAATGCAGACTGGTACAGCCACTGTGGAAAACAGTATGGAGTTTCATCAGAAAATTAAATATGGAGCTGCCATTTGACCCAGTGATCCCACTTCTAGGACTATATCCTAAGAAACCTAAAACACTAATCAGAAAGAATGTATGCACCCCTATGTTCATAGCAGCACAATTTACAATTCTAAGATCTGGAAACAGCCCAAATGCCCATCAGTAGATGAGTGGATAAAAAAAGCTGTGGTACATTTATACCATGGAATACTATGCAGCAGTAAAAAAGAATCTCTTACCCTTTGAGACAACATGGAGGGACCTGGAGAGTCTCATGCTAAGTGAAATAAGTCAGTCAGAGAAAGACAAGTACCACATGATCTCACTCGTATGCAGAATCTAAGTAACAAAATAAACTGATGGAGTGGATCCAGAGACTCGGAGGGAAGGCGGGGGTGTTGGGTGGGTAGAAGGTAATCAACCAAGGACCTTATATACATATATGCATGGCCCATGGACACAGACCATGGGCAGTGAGGTTTCGGGTGGGGGGGCAGGGGTGAGGGAGGGCTGGAGTGGGTCAATGGGGGAAAAAAGGAGATGTGTAATACTTTGAACAATAAAGAATTATATATTTTTTTTAAAAAAAAACTTTAACTCAAGTAGTATATGCCATGGATAATTACAAATACTAACTTAGCTTCCAAAAATACTGATCCATATACACTTTCCAAACATAAATTATTTATGGACTTGTGTTAATCATTAAACTAGTTCTTAATTGTTTCAGTGTTTTCCCAAAATTCTTTTACTTAAAAAAATTTATAACAGCATGTATTCATTGCAGAAATTTTAAGCATGTGAAAATCAGTCTTAATTGCCACCTGTCTTCCAGCCACCCGTAGCATTTGTAACAGTTTAGTATATAACCTTTGAGGCCCTATTGCAATAATCCTATAGCATTGATTGTCAATTGTTCATTTACACTAATAGCCATTTCTATGGGAGGCCCCTGTGCTGGGTTGATGGTGACTTTGTTGATCTTTATTGCTTGTCAACACTATCATCAATGAGATGTTTGTATAAGGATGAGTCCGATTTACATCCTGTCCTCAGGTGGCTTTCAGTATAGTAGGAAACTATAATACAAGGTGAAAGAGGTGCATGAGAGGAACAGATGAAGTGCTGTGGGACTCACAGGGTGAGGAAAATGTTTACCTTTGGTTGTCCAAGAGGTAATATTTGAGCTGTGTCCTGAAAGATTTGGGTTGGCAGGAAGCAAAGCAGGGAAACTGGCAGGAGAGAGGCAGAGATGCAGGTGATTTACAAGGTTATTCCATTTTCCTAGACCACAGTGTGCACATATGAGAGTAGCAGCAGGTAAAGGTGTAAAGGTAGTTTGGAGAGAACACTGAACACCTCTATAATAAATCTTTAGAAAATTTTGAACAGAATAGTGGCATGATTAGAGATGTGCATTAGGAATATTAATCAGACATTGGAGAGTACAGTGTCAGTCACAGACTTTGCAGTAATTTGGAAGAAGAGTTACCAAAAGAGATAGTGACCATAGAGCTGTTGTTGAAACATAGAACCTCTAGGTCTTAGCATCTGCCATATTCCATCAGCTCTACAAAAGCCATGTTTATAAGACACACCTTTATCGTATATACTAACAAGGGGGGGAAGCATTGCTAGTTAGTTTCCAGATACCACCAGTTATATAAGATATATCCTGATTTTAGAGATTATAATAATGAAGAAATGTACTTCATAGATTAAGTAAAATAGTGTAATTTCATGGGTAGGGGGAAAGTTGGGGTATGCATGTAAGTAAGGGGAGAGTTTGAGAAAATGAAAGAAGTGGGGGATGAGAACAAAGACACAAGGGAGAAGTAGACCTGGAAGAGGAGAGTACGCCTTCCTCTATCATGGGATGAAGGAGCAGTGACTCAGAAGTTTAGAAATGGAGAAGCTAAAAACATTAACTAAACTCATCCTATCTAATAATAGACAAACATGGTAATTGACTGTACCTTCGCTACGCCTCCCATTGGCCAATCAGCTCAATATGCAAATTAACCGCCAACAAACATGGCGGTTAATTTGCATACTGCAGGCAGGGCGGGACAGCGCAGCTGCCAGCACGAGAGCCGCCTTCCAGGCCCTCATATGCGACCCCAGAAGCCGCCTGCCTGCTGCCAGTGATCGAATCCGATCCCAGGCCGGCCCCAGAAGCCGGTGATGGGGGGAGTTGGGGGTCCCCTGCCCAGGCCTGACGCCTCTAGCAGAGGCGTCAGGCCTGGGCAAGGGGCCAATCCGGCGATCGGAGAGTGATGGGGGTCAACGCCTCTAGCAGAGGTGTCAGGCCTGGGTGAGGGCAGAGCCGGTGATGGGGGTAGGAGTTGGGGGTCCCCTGCCCAGGCCTGACGCCTGGGCCAGAGGTGTCAGGCCTGGGCGGGGGGCGGAGCTGGCAATCAGGGGGGCCAAGCCAGCAATCAGAGGGAGATGGGGGTCCCCTTCCCAGGCCTGACACCTCTGGTGGAGGCGTCGGGCCTGGGCAAGAGGTCGATCCGGCAATTGGAGGGTGATGGGGGTCGACGCCTCTGGCCAAGGCATCAGGCCTGGGCGAGGGACCGATCTGGCAATCGGAGGGAGGTGGGGGTGCCCTGCCCAGGCCTGGGCATCAGGCCTGGGCGGGGGGCGGAGCCGGCAATCGGAAGGGTCTGGGGGTCCCCTGTCCAGGCCTGACGCCTCTGGCCGAGGCATCAGGCCTGGCGAGGGGCCGATCCAGTGATCAAAGGGTAATGGAGGTCGACACCTCTGGCCGAGGCATCAGGCCTGGGCAAGCGGCCCGTCAGCGATGGGAGGGTGATGGGGGTCGACGCCTCTGGCCAAGACATCAGGCCTGGGCGAGGGCGGAGCAGTGATGGGGGTAAGAGTTGGGGGTCCCCTGCCCAGGCCTGAAGCCTGGGCCAGAGGCGTCAGGCCTGGGCCAGGGGGGGCCAAGCCAGCGATTGGTGTGAACTACAGAGGAAACACCTTTTCTGACCGCTCATTGGCTAAGCTCCCTGTATGCCACTGGTAATATTCTTAGTAACTTGGATAATAAGAATCCAAAAAGGTGATCTAGGGTTTTTTACCACACTCCTGGCGAAAGAAACAAAGGTCCACTGCTGGAGGGCTAAGAAATGTCATATCCTGCCCTAGCTGGTTTGTTTGGCTCAGTGGATAATGCCTTGGCCTGCCAATGGCAGGGTCTGGGTTCAATTCTGACCAAGGGCATGTACCTAGGTTGCAGGCTCCTCCCTGGCCGGGGTCCAGGTCAGGGCTCATGCAGGCGGCAACCAACCAAAGTGTTCCTCTCACTTTGATGTTTCGCTCTGT